AGAAAATCAGATTGGTTCTAACCTGCACGAACTGACTGGGCATCCCTTTAATGAGGGCTGCCTCTGTTATATCGGGGTGTTACACTACCGCTTTAGCCTGCGGTGATGATGAGGCGCTTGCTTTATTGCAGCTTATGGATGTATATTGTCTTTTAAAGCTGAAACTTTTATTTGTGATAGAAACATCAGGTGGCCTCTTTACACCTGACATACCAATGGGTATATTATGTCTTTGTAGGCTGGGACAGTTGCAACACTGAGCTTCCCTTCATTCCCACCCCAAACGAACAACTAGTCCACATCTATGATTTTCTGTGATAATTTTTACCTGTGTGGTTTAGGTGCTATTTGCTCCTGGTGTAATTCAGGAGGAAGCAATACAGATGCTAGCATGATGGGACAATAATTGCACCTAAAAGAGTTTGTTGCTCTTTTTAAGAGTTGAAATCAATAAAGCTGTTGTTTTACTGCAGCTAGGGAGCTGGCTGGAGAAGCATAGTTTGAGAGCATGTGTAATGAGAAAGAGCAGAGGTAGTTTCTTTAACTTTCGAATCACTATCAAATAATTCAGGAGATAATGCTGCACCTATGTTATTTATGCGGAATGACTATTAGGAAGGAAATAATAAAAGTAGAATGGGTCAAGGTTAGAAAAGAATGGGAGCAGCAGAACTTCTGTCCATTCTTGGGAACAGTAAGTTCAACAGCCCAAATACTACTGTTCCACAACTACTGTGTATAGCACGCTTCACCTCAAATGATCCCACAGCCCTTTCTGGCCACATCCACAGAAGCGTTCATGTGCATTTTGTTGCACCTCAAAGGCTTTTGTAGTGCTGCAAAATGCACCCTGTGCACAAGATTTGGTTCTTTGCGCTGCATATTTGTAGTGCAGAGCCAAATTTAGATACCAGGAGAACCCAGTATCAAAAAAAAAAAAAAAAAAAAGAATGCTGAAAAAAAAGCAGTGCGGCACACAGTGGCAGCATGCACCCGCTAAAACCAGAGCTTGGCTGGCCAAAGCCACACTCTGGCTGCCAGCCAGGTTCCACATGCCTGGGTCGCTGCCACTGGAGCCCTGGGAGATCCCCAGGATCCCAAGTAAGGCTGCTGGGGCCAGCCCAGGTGCTCGCTCCAGCCTCCCTTACCCTACCTGAGCAACTTGCCAGGTGCCAGAGCACACATGCAGGGGTGTTCCCCAGAGACAGCCAGCAAATATGTGCCACTGCTAGTTGTCCTTGGGGAAATACCCATGCGCATTTGTCTGGACGTGCCCTCTGAGTTTTCTATGTACAGCACTGCTACAGCCATCTATGGGGTGTCAGCCAGTGCACAGCACAGGAAAAGAGGGAGAAAAATAGGTTCCTAAACAAATATAAAAGGGATACATTTTAAAGACAAAACAATTAGAAAGGTGCATTTTTTCTGGTGGGAGTGACAGTTGGAGGGGATGCTGAATCTGAGTGAACCCAACTTCAGATTGGGATCCATACTCATAATGGAGTTTCCCTTTCTAATCTCTATCTGTACTATGTCTCACAAAGGTACTAGCCCAAGTTAAAATTTGCCTGTGTGCAGTGAGCTGGCACAAAACCTATGCATCACTTGCATCCTCTTTTGCAGACTTACATGGAGCTGATGTTTTGTGTAGACTTCGTGAGGGCCCTGCTTGCAGGGCTGATTTGCCCCACCTCTGTATTGCAGTGCAGTGGCATCACACTGGGGACAGGGCTGTAGTGTCCTTTCTGATGCTTTCAAGGTTACTGTTTATTTGAAACAAGATTTTCCAAAGTGTAAAACGTTAGTTAGAGCATGTCTGCTTTGTAAAGCACTGTTTGCCAGCCAAGTAGCTATAAAATTAACATATAGTTTGGCAGGGTCTCATCAGTGAAGTCTACTTAAATACTATGCAACTGAATATCAGTGGCATATGTTTGTACTAAGAATTCTTTGGAAAAAGAGGCAGCATGTTCAGGGAAAACATTTTTTTTTCCCCTTCAAAAATGCCAGTTTTGTCTCCAATAATGAAACCTGTGTAGAGTCATTTCTCTTTCCCTTTCTTCTTCTGAGTCTTTCTAAAGGGAGTAGCTGTCATAAACAGAACACGTTTCAGGATGAAACGATGCATCAGGAAGCTCCAAAGGCATTTTTAGTTCAGGATTTGCTGTTATTTTTCAAGAGGTTTAAAGCTCAGGTAGGTTGCATGTTAGGAACATATTTCTAAAGATTATGCCACCTTCCCCATTCAGGCTTAGTTCTCACTTACTTCCGTGGGACTTATTTATAGTCAGGTGCATGGTTAAGGGTCTTTCCTGAACTGCTGCTTTGTGAGAGTACATCTCTTAGGGGCCTGCCTGACGACTACTGAAGGAGATTCATTTGGGCTGTGCTGAAGTGTACAGCACTCTCAAGATAGGAAAATAAAGTAACTGAACTTCAGCACAGTAAAACTGAGGCCCAAATACTCTGCCCAGTGCCTTGTGCAAATAACCCTTCGTGCCCATTCCAGGCAGAGGAGCCACTCTGCAGGTCTCATGGCAGCCTGGCCACAAGGCCGCTCTGCAGCCCTGTCCTTGTTCTTCGAAGGACAGAAGTTCCATGTGAGTGGAATTTATATACCTGCTTCCACATATCCTGGAGTGGCAGAAAACCTTGTGGAGTTAGGAACTAGGAAGAAGGAACAGAATTATGTACTATCTTCTATCTTCATCTTTGTGCAAGGGAGCTGAATTATGTGTATGGAGCTGCCTGTACTTCTGTAGGTGACGGGATTGGCTCCTAAGAGAAGGCTTCGTATTCTAACCGGAATAAGAGAGAGACACAAGACTTGTTCACCAAGCTACCTAGATTCCTCCATGACTCCACACTCCATTCATTTTAATACTTTAATTTTATTAATTCTCCTGACAAATGAGGAGGAGGATGGTATTTTGCTCAACTGAAAGATATTTAAACCTACTTGAGCCAACATCCTCTTGTATCTACATCGAAATCAGTACAGCTCCAGCAGGGACAAATTTGGATCTGTGATGTTAACATGCTCCAACTTGAAAAGAAAAATATTCATATAGTTATGTAACATGGACCTCATCTTGAACCATGGATATCAATGAGAGCTTTGCCATACATTTGAACGAGAACATAATCAGGCTTTAAATGAGTGGCAACCACTGAAATCGAGATAACGTTTATAAATTGCATTATTAGAAGCCCCTAAAAGATGAATAGGGATTATTTTTCCCTGAGTAAATTATTTTACCGATAAGTTACATGATGTAGAGAACCTTCTGTATAAATGATTTATATTCTATGGTTCCACTCTCAGGGCTTTATAAAAGATGCTATAAAATAATCTATTAAGTACTGTAAAATAATTTATGTCTTGTCGTTACAATTTGTCCTAGCACATGTAAGAATTATTTACTTGGAAGGAAGCAGTTTCTGTTCATTATCCATGAATTATCTTAAAGTACTTGTAAATGTCACTTTTTCATATTAGCAAATGATTTAACTCTTCCTTTTCCAGGGCAAATTTATTCTCATGCACCTTGTTTGCTTCAAATTAGCCCTAAGCCTGCCCTGAAGCCACACCATCTCTTCCTACACCTCTTTACTGCTCCTCAGACTGTGCTGGCAAGACATAAGCACAGAAATTACCGTTAATAATAATAATAACACAGACAGCAGCAGCCATGCTCCCCTACACATACATTCTCTTCTTTTTTAATTCGTGTCTCAACTATGGGCATGTTCTTGTTTTACATAAGAAGGTGACATTGTAGTGCAAGCAGAACCGCCCTCATTGACAAGTTATAAATGGCCAAATTCTCAAATACTCTTGGCTACAAGATCATGGCTCGAATCCAGAACTTTTTTTGCAAATGCAGGAGATTGCTTGCTATCCTTCCAAATATGAGTTTGGCCAGTTCATTAGTGCCTGGTTTAGAGGTAGACTTAAAACTCAGGCATGTTATTGTTTAAGAAGTCCACATTTACTGGTAATTAATTTTTTTATCTTGTTTACTATTTTGAAAGATCTTTAAAAATATCCAGATCTAGGAAAATGCCAAGAGTTTAGGATGAACACATAAGGTATGTCCAGATGAGTACAGATGTGCTCTATGTGGTGCTGCAGACATTCTCTGCATTGCTACTTTGCAGTGTGGAGGGTGTATTTGACCCCCAGGAGATCCTCAAAGTGGTTTTAGGCCAAGATTGTTTTGTTTTATTTTATAACATAACACAACAGCTGAAGACAGGTTCTTGAGTCCAAGTAAATGACATGGGCCAGGGTTTTTAAAATTCAGTACCTAAATCAATAGCCAGAGGAGCATTGAGAAGTCCCAGTGACTCTAGGGGCATCCTATGTGTCAGCAGCTCTTTGTGCCTCAAGCTGTCTACCTCTCTCAAAATGTGTTGTTCACAGCCATATGTGGATAGTTAAAGTTTTTATATCCCTTCATAGTGCTTTGGACTATCAAGCAAGATTTTCAAAAGTGCCTGTAGGGATATATTCCCATGTTGCATTGACTCTGGTGGTTTAATGGGAGATGTATATGCAAGTCCTTAAGGAACTTCTGAAAATCCATGCAAACGCAATGCAAAGGCTAAGTATTATTTCTGTTTGCTGTATTTGGATTCTTACAAGAGACTATTTTAATGAAACTCCATATTTTATTAGAACAGACTTGAAATTCCATTATTGCTATTTTTCATGTGGGAGATGGTCAGTTAGCTGCCTAACTCCCATTGAGAGGTTCCCAACTGTGGTTTGTTCCCTAAAAAATCTCCCCTCAAAAACTGGAAGCTGGGTATGAGTATTAAAACAATAACTTCAAATGAAATTGTCTGTCTTTCAAATGACATTTCTTCTCCCACAGTTCTTAAACTGAAAGCAGGAGAGACCAGGACTGGATCCTGCAACTGCTCTCATCTGAAAAATGGGTATTTGGCAGATTATTTTACAACTCATTAAAATGAATTGTCTTTCTCTTTTGCAGCCTGATGGCACCAGCAAAGAGTGTGTTTTCATTGAAAAAGTTCTAGAAAACAACTACACAGCACTGATGTCTGCAAAATATTCGGGCTGGTACGTTGGATTCACCAAAAAGGGAAGGCCACGGAAAGGGCCCAAAACCCGGGAAAACCAGCAAGATGTACATTTTATGAAAAGGTACCCAAAGGGTCAAGTGGACATACAGAAACCTTTCAAGTACACGACAGTGACCAAGAGGACTAAGAGAATACGACCCACCAACCCCAGTTAAAAAATAGACAAAAACAGTGTCACAATAATAAACCACAAAAAACTGCACCAGAGGAATATTTTTACATTAAAAATAAGGAAGAAGCTCTATTTTTGTACATTGTGTTTAAAAAAATAATAAAAGTTAAAAAAAAAAAAAAAAAAAAAAGACTGATGGCAAACGCTGGGGAAAGCTGTTAGGATTTTATTGTGACTTGAAAAACAAAATGAACTGCTCTATTTAAATTGACTTCTTGTTGTTGATGACACTTAGGTGCTTATTTCTCTTTTGGAATGGACTTTTCAAGCAGATCCCCAGAGGAAAAAATAATTAATTATTAAAAAATAAATAAATAGGATAAAACCAAAGAAAACCAAAGTTCTTTCCCAAAGTTACTGAAACCTTGACCCAGAAATCGCCAGTTTTGCAGTAATCTATTTATTGTCTGCTGCAAGCTGTTCCAAGACAAGATGGTGTGCGCCGCAGTGATTGAGTTTCCGTGGAGTTCTCAACGCATCGATCTTCTGTAACCTTTTTGACGACATAAGGTTTCACGGCTCTGTGATCCTGCATTATGCTCAGTTCTGGAGAATGCTGCTAAATACATTCAAGTGACTAAAAATGACCTAGTACACCAATGATAAGGGAATATTTTAAAACCAGCTATATTATATATATATTATATATATATAAGCTATTTATTTCACCTCTCTGTATATTGCAGTTCCATGAACCAAGTATTACTGCCTCAACAATTAAAAAATTATTTAAAACACATGTACATATTGCTGCTGTTCAGAATTTTTCCCCCACTGCCTCAGCCAATCAGTTATTGCTGTGAACTTTCATCTTTTTGTAATGGTGTCTGGGCACTTGCTTCTTACTGAAAACTTGATTTTCAGTCTTCCCCTGAGTCCAACAATCCCCCCTCAAGTCTTCTTCCTCCCCTGAAAGTAGAGTAGATTTGTCAGTGGTCTGGGAACCAGGAATCCCTGGAGTTTCTTCTACTACTGAAGTTTTGTCTGGAACAAGTGTTAAATGAATGCTGCTTGCCCAAGTTGCTAACACAACCAACTATGCTTTGTAAAACTCTAGCCATGTGTATGATAATTCTCACCTAGACTTTAACTTGACCAACCTAACATGCAAATGTACAACTTCCTTTTCCTTGGTTAGAGTTTTAGAAAGGATTCTTTGTGCTTACAACCTGGCATAATTTAACAAAACATTTTAAAATCCTAGTCTAGACAAGGATTTGGCCTCTGATAAGTCACTTACCCTTTCTGTGACCGAGTTTCCCCTCTATAAAATGGGAATAACAATGATTATTTACCTAACTGGGGTTTCGTAAAGATGAGTAAGTTAATGGAACCTGTTAAACCTTGTGTATATGTTAAGTATTAATGGAAACAATAATCTATATAATACTGTATATTGACCTGTTTACCTACAGTCAGGGTGGATGGAGAACAAAAAAGAAAAAGAAAGGTTCAAGCAAAATAATGGTTGACTTGAAACTTTGACTGAAATTCTAATCAATTTTGCGAATTAGGAGATTTCACTTGTTGTTTTCACTGTGCTGTTTAAATGCATCTCTGCACTTCCTGTTCCAGTCATGATCTGGAAATGCTGAGATGCATTCAGAAAGCTTATTCTTGCTAATCAAGAGAACAGCTTTCAAAAATATCTTGAGAAATCTTATTATTGTGAGAGTTCCAGACATGCTTTACATATCAGAGCAGTTTGGAATGTGTTCAGGTAATCATGCAAACTTTGGGATGCTTTCTGAACAGTATATCAGACCTTTCAAGTCCAAAGAAAATTAAGCAATGCTAAGCAATCTTACTTCTCTTTGCCTGCAGAAAAAACTGACAGCATCACAGGCGAAACTTTCCCTGAAAGCTGAGCATTTACAACAACTTGAAAAACAATTAATCAGCTGAAGACCACAACCAAGACCAGAACTCCATTGTGGTAGGGTAGTGTATGAGCAATGAGCAAGAAACATAACTCCTGTATCTCAAGAACTCACCATCTAAGTAAGCAAGGTGGAAAAAGAGTAGGAGGGGATGCAGAGTGGTGATTTGACTTGTCCAGGGCACCGTGGTACACCAGTGGCTGAACCAGGAATAGAACACAGGGCTTCTGCTGCCCACTTGAATGCCCCTTCTGCTGGTCTGGACTGCCTCCTCTGTTCTGCTCTCTGTTTTAGGAATCCCTGGGCTTATTAGCCAACCATTTGCTTATGTGTGAGGGGAGAGCCTCATTAAAAGAAAAGAAATAAGTTGGGATTGCCACTGATGGGAATTGGAGGTATGGGCTTCTGTACCACTGCCAGTCTTGCCCATTGATGCTTTCAGTGTGTGCAACTCCCTGTAGGGGCATGAGGGAACCCTTAGATACCTCCTTTCATACACGGTTCTAGCAGCAGCAGTGACAGGACTTTTTCTGGGAAATGCAAATCTTTGAAATGTAAATGAAAACTCATGCAATATTACCAACCCCAAGTGTTCAAAAACATGATATTGACTTGCACAATCTTGAGATTGTATAAATAATATATTTTAAATTTTTGTTGGTGCTGAAGTCATTTGAGCTTACAGATTTAGTCTTCAAATCATGAGCACAATTTTTTTTCATTTAACATGAAGTTGGTAGCCTTGTGATTATCACAGGACTCCCAATGCTGGAGCTTTAAGAAAATCATCAGAAATCACAGGCTCATGGCAGTTGGTAGCACTGGACATCTGGCAGTAAGACCAAGGAGAGAAGTGTAACAGCCTTTTCTAGTCGGAGGCAGATCTAGAGGGGGTGCAGTAACATGGCCATACCCCCCTGTCTGACAATGCAGCAAGAGCAGCAGCCAGGGACTTTTTTAAATCCCCAGAGAAAGCAAGAATTCCTTCCCTACTTTACCCTCCATGGTCAGAGCACAGCCCTTCCCTTGCCTGCCGCTGTCATGATTCTTGCCATCTTGAGGGTGAGGGAGCTCATACCACATTCCAGCCAGGCTGCATAGGAACTGGGCTCAGTCTGGAACAGTGGCAGCAATGGTGGCAGGTGAATGGGTTCCCCTGACTTGCCTGGTAGCCCTGGGAATTCCTTGCCAGCACATGGAAAGGGAACTTACTTGCTAACCTGCTGCTGCTGTCCCAGGATGAGCCCAGCACCTGTGCAGTCTAGCTGGAGTGGCTCTGGAGCTTCTCCTGCCCCTGGGACAGTAGAGACAGTGGCAGTGGCAGGTGGGGGAGGGGAGAAAATGGAGTGCTTCTGAACAGGGAGGAGAAGGGGGGAAATTCTTACTTGTTTTGGGGATTTAAAAAGTCCCTGACTGCCGCTTCCAGAGTGCCAGTCACATCCCTGCAGTGCCAGTCACTGCTCCTGCACTTGGCTTTGTAAAATCCTGGATCCACTAATATAGGGCTATGAAGAGTGAAGCTAATATGGAAGCCAAGTATATATAGACACAGAGCTGGAGCCAAGTCAGGGAGCTGTTAGGACTCCATTAGCCTACCACCCACCCATGTTGAGGGGATGGGCAGGGGGGAGTGGATTCCTTTCTGACACCAATAGTAGCATGTACCTGTGGATTAGTGGAGGTGATGGTGAGGATCCTTTTGGATTTGTCTACAGTTGTAAATTGTGGGGCCCTGTGTTCTGGGGAAGTTCAGCAGTATGGTGGTGGTGGTGGTGGACAGTGCAAGCAATTTGCAGAGACTGATTTCTTCAAGGGTGTGGGAATGATCCTCAGAGTCTTTTCCTTGATACTTGGCCATGTCATCCTCATTGCAGTTTCACTGGCAGAAGGCTGGGGCAAAAATGGGGGAGTTGACTTCCTTTGTTCTCAAGAAGAAAAATGAGGATGGGAGAAGATAAGGGCTGGTTTTCTGCCAGAGGAGAGGCCCAGAGGCTGGGAGGAGCTTCACCCTGTTTTTGAGCCTAATGATGAGGTCTGGAGGAAGCCTTTGTACAAGGGGAAGAGGAGTTGTAGCCCACAGCACCGACCTCACCACTTCAGCTAATGGGGTGAGTGCTTAATATTATAGAAGTAGTAGGCTGTTATTTTCTTGTGCGCTCCAGCCATTAGTGGAAGGGCTGATACATGGTTTGCCATTGGTTTCAGCTTTGCCAGGTTAGGCTGGCTAGCTGGAAGTGAATCAGGACTCCTGGGGCATGTCTACACATGCATTAGTGCGCCTTTTCTAAGGTGCATTAAGTTTAGTACCTCCAATGTGAGGTACTAAATGTGCATTAGGCTGCCCTAATTTACAGTAGTGCATTTGCACAGTTTTTAAGTGATCCTTAATGAGCAGTAGACTATTTTACTGTGCATTAGTGTAATGTCAGTTTTTTATGTGATTCTTTAATGCACAGTAAAATAGTCTACTGTGCATTGAAGTCTATGTGTTGATGTATCCCTGGGTTATGTTTCTGGCTGGAGGATGATAGTGTGGTCTAGCAGTTAGGACAGGAAACTGAGTTAAGATTCCTGGGAGCTATGTGTTAATCATGGTTGTGCTCATTAATATGTATGTTTGAAAGGTGATTAGGCAGAAGCACTTTTGCTTTTCAGACATTGGAGCCATACACTTAAAATAATCCTATGGAGAATCAGTGTGGCTAAGTGGATGCACATTTGGGCTGTTCTCTTGAAGCCATCAGCTCTATTCCTAGCTCTGCCGAAGTGACCTTGGATGGGCTCTCAAATCCATGGTAACCTTCTTTGTAGAAAGGAAGGAATAATAGTGACCAGTTTATTACATTAGAATCATAGGTTTTGATCAATAAAAATGTTAATGAAGGGCACAAGATTATTAACATCATCCAATGCAAAAAAAAGGAGAGACAATTCAGTGTCTTGGTTTCCAGTACAGAGTATGTCCCTGTAGGGCAAAAACTGGTCATTCTGTTGGCAGGGGACATCCAGAAAATCGGCAGTGGTGGGTACTGAGGGCTGCTGAATATTTTTTTTTTAAATCTGACCAGTGGACAACAGCTCCACTTAATTAGCTTGGCATACTTGTTCTAAGGAGCAATTCTGCAGGAGACACCTGTGTCACTGCATGTCAGGTTCCCCTGTGTGGTCTATGACAAACAATTTCCTTCTGGGTTAGTTTACAAACAGTTTTCAAAAACTTGATTAAAATGTTTTCTTTTCCTGTTGGTCTGAAGATTATAGACTGGGCAAAAGTTTGTACTTTATATATCTTTGCTCCAAGAAT